GTCAACACGTATGAATCATACACATATATACTTATATTTATGAATTCATGCATTTTACTATGGAAAATAGACTTGTCGCAAGCCTTATTTCCATTTAACATCATATAATACTTATATGCACTCACCTGACCTCACTAGTCCATTCCAATCTCTTATCTTCCCTTTTTATCGATCTTACTTGTCAATGATTCCGGAACTCGTTTAGGCTTTGAATCTACATAATTATACATTTTAAGACAATTATTAGATACCTACACCTTGTAATTTGATACTAGCAACTTAAACGAACTTATTAAACCAATATTTACAATTTTCCTTTAGGGGGAATCGGTTCCCTACTAAGGGGGTATCGATTCCCTCATGACATTCTGGAAATTTTTGTTCGTTTGAAGGGGTATCGGTTCCCCTTGAATGGGTACCGATTCCCCTTGCCCAGAAATCATATTTTTAGCTCGAAAATCACTTCATTTTCAGCTCAACACTTCATATGTCATCCCCCTTTTCATTCTTAACTCTAGTACACATACTTAAACCAATCTATATTCATTTATTCCATCTTAAACCTCAAAATCCTATCTTCCATATGTAATTCAAGAATCATACCAAATTTTCTATATGTTCTAAATCCAATTCTATCACTCCAAATCTCTTAATTTAACCATTGACAAGTCAAATTTAACTTCCAATTTAAGAAATGAACTTTATTCCAAGATTTCATTTGTAAACTCTAAATCTTTAATCTCTCCTAACTCCACCATCCTTTGCTTTTAAGATGATTTAAGCTTTCCTTAAGCTTAGTTATCATCTAATAATTAAAACTCAACCTTAAAATCAACAATTCAATTATAAACAAAGAAACTTACATTTGGCTCTTGGCTTCCACGTGAAGAAGAAGAAGAAAGGAGAAGAGAACTCTGGAGAATTCTCTCCCTTTCCACGTGCATTTATAATCCCATTTTTAATTCATTTCTTGGTCAATTGACCTTTTTGCCCTTTATTTCCTTTAATAATTACTAAATAACCTTCATCATATATATCCAATAATCATTGAACTATTTTATTCTTATACTTTAGTCACCAAATTCTGAAACTTTACAATTTGGTCACTAACCCGGTATTACGGATGTTACACCCAAAATATCTGAATCCCATGCAGACATTTTAAGTAAGGTAGCTCCTGATATTTGTTGTAGTTCATATGAGGGTTGTTATCCCTGAATATAAATTTACTCTCCTTGATGGTCAAAGCTTAGAGTCATATTATTGAAGTCCATTAATATTGGACTGAATAACTTCATCCAATCAACTCCCAAGACCATGTCACTTCCTCCCAATTTGAGTAACCTAAAATCATGTAAAAAAGTATGTCCCTGCATTTTCCATTCAACCTTGTTGCAACGGGCAGAACTAAATAACTGTTGACCATTAGCCACAGTGATAGCCAAGGGATAAGGAGTTTTAATTTGTATACCAATATCAGCCCATTTAGGAGTCAAGAAACTATGTGTGTACCACTATCAATTAGGATATTCAATGGTCTACCTTGAATAGTACCTTGTATTCTCAATGTATTATGGCCAATGCAGCCCGTAATAGCATTCATAGAAATCTCCAAATTTTCATCCTCTTGTTGCTGAAAGTGTTCTGTAGCAGTATGATCATTTTCCAATGTAGAAGTTTCCATCTCCTCAGTAATCATATTCAATTGCCTGGTTTTACACTGATGACCTGGCAAATACTTTTCACCACATCTAAAACAGAGATTATTTATTCTTCTGTAATCCATAAGACTTTGCTTTTGATTTGGTACTGAAGTAGGTTTGGTAGGGACTGGCAGTGTATTTTTTTAGATGTATATAAGGGATTTGGGTAGGGTGGGGTTTTAAAAGAAGACCTCACTCTTCTGTTCTCAAACTCCACAGACAGTTCATACAACTTGGCCTGTTTAGATGCTTCAGATAAATTTTTAGGATCTAAAGCCTTGACCCTATGCTTGATATCCTCTCTAAGTCCACTAATAAAAAGTGACACAAAAAATTCCTCTGTCAAAGTAGGATTCTGCAACAGCATATGAGGTTGCAACTCCTCAAACTTCTCTTGATACTCTTCCACAGACCCCTTCTGAGTCAATTTAGTGAACTCCTCAACAATATCAGAAAAAGTTCTATCACTGAATCTATGACAGATATCAGCTTCTAACTCATGCCATGTTACATGGTGTTTCTGCATAATGTAACCATCAAACCAAACTTCTGCCTTGCTTGATAAATACATTGTAGCTAGTTCCACTCTCTGCTCAACAGGAACCCCACAAATAGAAAAGTATTTCAGGCATTTCTGAACCCACCCTCTCGGATTAACCCCTTCAAAGAAAGGAGGTTCTATTTTAGGTCTATTCCACATAATCCCATAACTAAATGAAACCCCTGGCCCCCTTTTTTCAGCTTCTAGTCCCAATATAATAGGTCTAGAGTCACTGTTTTCACCCATCTGATTCTCA